TTCACGCATAATACTATTGTATGTGAAACTAAGTTAATAAATCATTAACATGTGAAGTGTTGAATCTTGTGTAGTCCATTTCGCCGATAACTTGCGTAAATAAATTCTTTCTCCTTTTTCTTAATTCAAAAATGATTATTTACACTTTGCGAATTGTTGATTACGCATTAATAAACATTTTTATGCGATTGATCTATGAATAGGTTAATTAAATCTCTTCTATCTATTCTAAAATTCTTAACTTAATAATTTTTTCCTGCTCAGTTTTTTTTTCAATTTCTTAATATTATACATTGCATTATTTTTTATACTATTGTTAGTTTTAGAAAGCAGAATTAATTTTATACAGACAAAAAATGTATCGCCATCTAGTGAAGGGTAGCTAAATTTATATGATTCGAAAGGAGTTGATTTGAATAATCGATTCATATTAAACTTTGAATTATTATTGCAATGGAAAGATTCATGTAAAATATAAAATATATTATTGATAATAAAAATGTGTATATTCTTGGTGTTTTTAATTAATTTTAAATGAAAAAAGTGGAAGGACAGTTGCCGACATAGCTTTTCTTTGGAATAACTGCGTTTTGGCAACGGTAGATGTCAGGACTATTGATAAAGGAATGATAGAATAGAATAATTTTAAAAAATTCTAATTTAGGTAATAAAATAGATTTATATATTAATATAAAGAAAAATTTTTATATATAAAAAATAGTGTTTCTTTGTTACTAATTTTATTTATATTTATTATTACGAATCTGTTATTATATAATTCATTAATGTCAAAGTTACAAGGTATAGTATATTAAATTCTAAAGATTTTTCTTATATATGTTCTATTTTTAACAGGAAAAAAGCACGTCAAATAATTAGATAAAACAGGCTTCTTTTTATCAGCCTTATATTTTTGTACGTTACACAGGAAGGGCAAGAATAAAGTTACGGTACAATTTTACAGTTCGCTGGAACAAAAAGAGAGACGCCTACGTCGAATTAGAGGACACTTGGGAAAGTTATGAACGCTAGGAACGGCGCTGTTTTATCGTCACTCTCGGCAGGAAGGTAGCTTCAATTGGCAAATAATACATACGCGCATTGATTCTCGATTGAATGGTATCGAGAATTTACGATCAACCTTCTGTGAAATTTCTCGCGCATCTGGTTATCGCTCTCGTGCGTCCGTAGTATCGGCAGCTCTTAAATCGCACGGCGTCATGGATATAAGGGTAAATCGCTCGCGTATTCAGAAAGAAAAAAAAAAACGCGAGTCTGAGATTGTCTGCGTGAACCTGACGGGTATATGGATCGGCATTGAAACGGCGTCGAGTCGCCCCTCGTCTCGCCTCACCTCGCCTCGCCCCGCAGCGTCGCGACGCAGAAGCCGGGGTTTTCTGAGGTACGCGAAACGAGACGCGCACCGTCGCTTATTTCCCTCTCGAGAACGTGCCCGAGCATGTATTCGTATACCCCGAGCACGTCGATACGCATAGACGTGCACACGCGTGTCCCTTCCCACCCCTCCTCCGGGTCAATCTTATTCCGATTCGATCGACCTTTCATAGAGATAGAAGGGTCGCAATTAATCACGGTACGCAAGTTTTATTTCAGCTGCGGAGAAACGAATTAGTACTTATCATCCTACCGTCAAGCGAGAACGAGTGTGAGAATCTTTCGCTTTTGATAAATCGAAATTTACGAAACGATCGAATCGACTTCGAGCCCTGATAGATTTTATCCAACGTCGTTCTCCGCTTCGAGATACTTGATGTTTGTGCTCTCACGTGGGGCGACCTTTGAAATTTTTCATGCGAAGCGAGAGGCGAGTTTATTATAAAACTGCAGTCGTCCGTTTTTCGATCCCGAAAGCCCCGTTAAAATTGGGCCTCGTGCCTCGCTAAAGTCGCCCTTGTGCATACCCATAACGTATGGTACGTACGATCGATGGTTCACTCATCCGGCGCTAAAAGGGTTAATGATGCCTGCCAAGCGTAAATGGCGCTCATGGCATCGGACAAATGAAACGTAATGAGCGGATCGTGCACCGCGGTACGTACTGTACGATCGTGAGATTCGTAATAATGCCCTATTGAGGACCGACGCTATTGTACAGGTACACGCCATGCCGAGGGCGTGAAATCGTACAATACGATTAGCGGCCACGTTACGTCCCATGCGCGCATGGCCGTGTGCCTCGGGAGAACCATAAGTTTAATAAGGGATTTTTGCGATGCGCCTTTGAGCGCCTCGAATATTTCAGTTGTGTGTGACGCGATCGACGATAACGTAAGGTCTGTTCTTTTCAGCTGAACTGGCTGCATTAGTGCAGAGTTTATCTTTCTTCTTCCAGTGTAAGAAAGAAAGATAAACTGTGAACAATCAGTTCAACCAAAAAAAAATCTATAATTATCGTCACGATTCCTAAACTTGGGTTTTTTTGCATTTATATATATATATATATACAGTCTTATCATATTTTTATCGCACAAATGTTTCTCAAGTTTCTAACACTTTGAAAGTTCATAGGCAGGTTCATTGATTTTACGATGAAAAGTTTATATGAATTTATGATGTTAAAGCCCTCGTTTCAAAGATATAAGAAGCTAAGAATTTTATAAAATTTTGAAACAAAGATCTGACGATCGTAAATAAATAATTACAAATTTAGTTATAATTTTAGTCAATCGAGTTACGAGACTTTTGTTTTCTTGACGAATCAATCACGAACAACAAAACTCCGCTTTTAATATAATACGTCTCAATAATTTTATTTCACGCGTAGCTGATTTCCATTCTTAATATATAAAATAGAAAGATCCTTTCGATTTTCTGGTATCTGCCAATTTTTAAAGTCAACGAAGCGCTCATACATTTTACTATTATTGTCTTATCTTATTGGAATACTTGTTGATACACGCTTAATTTGCATTTCGTTGGGTATTAATTCGAGAAAAGCAAGGGGCGGTGCTAAAATTGTTAATTAATCGATCGTAACCGAAGGCGGGGAGGAAGCAGATCTCTTTACGTTTGAGTTAATCTTGAAGTTACATTAATATTCGCTACACGTTTGGCTTGACGCCTCGTTAGCGTTTATCGTATCCGATACATGCTGCCGCATGTAAAGTGTCTATTTCCGCGCGCGAAATCGATGCGCGGAGTAATTCACATGTGCGCTATCGAGGAGCGTATCCGATTTACCGACTCGTTTTCGCAAATGTGTGGCGCAATATAGCGGCGCTATTTTTAACACGGCGCTACTTTTATAATACGGGTGGCGGAGAAAGTACTCTTTATTTTGAAATGTTCCGCTGTAAATCGCCGTCCATTAAAGCGACCGTACGATTAGATCAAGTATTCACGAAGGGGGAAATCGATGAGAGGTTCAGTTCGCGGGAGTTGAAATATTCTGGCCTAATATAACTCCCGCGAGCTCTCTTGAGTTCTTGCTCTTGTTCTTGTATGATTGGTTGAAATATGAATGAAGCTCGTACGATATTCCTCGCGCAGGAATCTTTCCTTTGGGCCATCGTAATGGGCCAAAAGCAGTTGGAATATTAGATTAATTAGGCGAGTTAATTCTTAATTCTCTTAAAATTTTATGATATGAATAAGAAATAGTTGTTATTTTTAATAATGCAACGACCTAAGTTTTATCACTTTTCATCAAACAGTTTTATTAAGTAATAATATTTTAGAAATTGATTTATATAATAACATAATTTGCATAATATTTATTAGGCTTCTTAAGATTTATTATTTGCAACTGTTTACAATAGACAGGGCAATATAGCGTCTCTTGCGCTGATTAGTAGTTTTACATTATCAGATTGTCATGCAATTTGCTCGGTAATTAATGTTCCATTTACTTCATAATTAACGTTCCATTATTAAACACACTGGCTAGAATTATATTAAATTATCTGTTCCATTCGCTAACACCAAACGATTTTGCTACTGGCTGCACAGGACGAAAACGAACATTACAGGTACACGACGAAAGTAATGCATGCATCATGTTCGTAGAGATTCACGATATGCACAGTGCAGCTATGCACTTTCGTATTGTTATTTGTTGGTTTCGTGCCGACAAATCGTACGCGCAGCGTACACGTTACATGCACACTGTGTTTGATGGGTAATCAGCG